CTGTAGCTTGGGAGTGTCCTCTAGAGATTTCTAATATGCAGAATGATCTACTTCTGAGACCTCTTTTCTCTAGGCCATTAAGTTCTTTGGCAAGCATTGATGATGAATTTCCTGTGGCAAAGAAACCATTTTTATTTTTGTCAGCTACTCTAAAAGTCAATAGGTTGACGCAGTTGGTTATAAAACTATCTGCCAATATTCTGAGGCCCAAACCCTAATCTCCTGCCATGTAGACAATCAGAATGCACAGTATAACCCCTGTAACAAAGAACTATGCAGCCCAAAATATCAGTAGTACTGAGGTTGGGAAACCATGATCTAGACTATTCTGCTATACTTTTTGTCTGCTTTGTACTCCATTGCCAAACCAGGATTCCTAAACCACCAAATGTATCCTTCACTCCTAAGATCCAGTAGCTCCCCATTGCCTGAAAGACCAAGTCTTTCCTTTTCATCCTGGCATTTAAATCCTGAGGGATTTTGCCCACTTATGTACTCATTCCCCAACAGGAACTCAGCTTTTCCCAGGCTTCCTTCTGCACCGTCTTCCACACACATGCTTTTACCGATGTTACCCCCTAAACATGTACCTTGTGAGGACCCTCCCCACATCTCTCCTCTGATCCAAATCTTACTCATTCTTTGAAGCCCACACATGGTGCACACCCCTCTGCCAATGAGTTGGTCTCCTTTTGTACCACTACCTTTAGTACTTATTGTGGGCTCACTGTTATATGGCTCTTCCCTCTATCTTGTTTCCTCAATAACCTCCCTAAAGGGTTCCATATTATATTTCTGGTCTTTCCGTCTCAGTTTAAGGTGTGAAAACTGTATTGTTGTATTGAGAGTTTCTTGTTATTAAGAGTCAAATGAGATAAATATAAAAAGTACCTTGTACAGGGCCTTGCACCCAGTTAAGTGCCTGCTCAGAAAACTATAGCATCTATAGAAGCATACAATCGGGAACCCATAGAACATGCTTAATAAATCTTTTAATAGTATTTATGTACTAGAGAGAGCATGCATACAGACTAGCCTGGTATTTGGAACCAACAGCAAAGAAAAACTTGCATCAGAAATTCTACACCAATTAACACGCCTTCATGCTAGAGTGAATCCAAGAGCAGTGGGTGTCACATTTTCTCAAAGTGGTGCCTAAGCCAACCTTTTGCATTTAACAAGTTAATGAATAGCTTATGAGTAACACTTTGCCCACTCTGGCCCTATTTAGAAGGCTGCCAATAGGATAGGATATCAGTATGCCACACTCTGCTTTGCTGGGGTCCCAGCTGTATCCTCCCTAAGTGATTCTGCTCTTAGCAGCTGGGGGGTCTGATATCCCTGGAGAAGTCGGCACCAGTGGGATGAAGCTGCAGAGAAGTCCTGGCCTTTCCCCAAATGGAAGAGAGCCTTGTCTCAGATCCTATGAGAGAAGAGAGTGGGGCATGGTATTCTGAGCAGCCCAGGTTTGGCTTTGGGCCAAGCACTGAGTGGCAAACAAGAAGGAACACATTCCGGGAAGGCAAGGAGCCCTGCCAACACAAAGGCGGCCCAGCAAGCTGGGCCTGCTGGGCGCCAGGTGCTCCTTGGCTCTGTGGAGGTCAGGCACGCAGGCAGATGCACTCGGGTTTCTCTGGATTATCATTTCAGAGACTTAAACCGCTCCTTCCCTCTCACTTTAGATGGACAAAGCAGTGTTAAACCTCTGTTTCCCCTGGGGTCTAGCCCCTTCTCTCCAAATGAAGGTAGGAGGAGAAAGAGTGTTATGGCCTCCTGAAATCGTACATTGCTGGAGCCAGATTTCTTTAATTCTGTGCCCTAAGAGGCTACCTACAACAAGGGCAGGTCAGGGGGGAAAGCCTGGGATTTCTATGTCCTTGTTGGAAGAGAGGCAGAGCTGCCCTCTCTCCCTTTCCTGCACCCTCACTCCCCCCATCCCCCAAACAAGACATGCTTATTCTTCACACCTGCCAGTTCTGCCTCGATACTGGCCTTACCTTCTGAAGGTCTGGAGAGCCCTTGGGAATGCAGTCCACTCCACCCCACCCCCATCCTGCTATGAAAGGAGAAGAGAAAGGACCAAAGGGGACCATAGAGAAATGGCCACAGGAGCTTCCCTTTGCCACTGAATAGACAATGTGCACTGGACTTGGACAGTCCTGGCCCATTTTCACCCGCAAGGGAACAAAGGAAACTGAAGTTTATTCCTCTCCTCCTTGGCTCCAGTTCCTGCTGGACTTTGCTGCCACCTAGTGGTCCAGAAGGCATCTCTTCCCCTTCAAAGAGCCCAGCCTGGGGATCTGGCTTCTGTCCCCGCCGGAAGCAAACAGAAGAGCCTTCTCTGAGAAGCTTCTCTACCCTAGGACGCCCTGCTTCTGACGCCCAGCAGCCAGGAGAGAGGAGCTGCATACGTTCATGACCTCACCCAGCTCGACAGGTGTCCTAATGCCAGGTAGGAAGGCCAAGGCTAGCTGGCTGGGTGCTGGGAGCAGGAGGGTGGGCAGTCTTACAGGAGGCCCTGTTGGGGTGCAGTTCTGCCAGAACTCCCCTCATTCCTGAATGCCCTTTGCACCAGAGCCCCTGCTCCTTTCATGACCTTCTCTCGTTTGGCTACACACATGGTGCAAAACCCTGCATTATATATTTCCCTCAATTTCTCCAAATTTAAGGCAGCTGTTTCTTCCTTATAGTTAGCTCATTTCAACTTTAAAAAGTATAAAGATTATTTGCCCTCTCTGTGATGCTGCTGCTATGAGCCAGCCTGAGAATAATGAATAGGGGGTATATTACCATGTAGATTATCAACCATATTTTTCTGCATATTATATCCATGGGTTTATTTCCTCTAGCAAAAGAAAGCACTTGGTTTCAAGGACCGCCGAGCCTATGAGCCCCAAACTTTCAGATCTCAGTTGGCAGAACTGAGGAACTGTATAAAATCCAAACTCCCTTCTCCTGCCTACCTCTCCAACCTCTGTGTGTGTGTGTGTGTGTGTGCACACATGCCCACACACATGTGGTAAAATACACATAAAATTTACCATCTTGATACTTTTTAAGTGTATATTCCCATAGTGTCAAGTATATTCCCATTATTGTGCAACCATCGTCACTGTCTCCAGAACTCCGTCCATCTTGTAAAACTGAAACTCTATGCCTATTAAACAATAGCTTTCACTTCCCTTCCCCCCAGCCCCTGGCAACCACCATTCTACTTTCTGTCTCTACGACTGTGACTATTCTAGGAACCTCTCAGAAGTGGAATCATACAGTGTTTGTCTTTTTGTGACTGGCTTATTTCATTTAGCAGAATGTCCTCAAAGTTCATCCACGTTGTAGCGTGTGTCAGAATTTTCTTCCTTTTTGAAGCTGAATAACGTTCCATGGTATGTATATACCACATTTTGTTTATCCATTCAGTGGCTGATAGACACCTGGGTTGCTTCCACCTTTCGGGTGTTATCGATAATGCTGCTCTGAACACGGGTGTACAGATAGATAACTCTTCAAGACCCTGCTTTTAGTTCTTTTGGGTATATAGCCAGAAGTGGTATTACTGGATCATGAGTAATTGCTTTTCATGTTTTGAAAACCTGTTTTGCACATTCTGTTTTGCACAGTGGCTGCAGCATGTTACATTCCTACTAACAGTGCATAAGGGCTCCAATTTCCCCACCTCCTCACCAACACTAGTATCCTGTTTGAGAGTAGTCATCCTAACGCGTATGAAGTGTATCTGATTGTTGTTCTGATTTGCATTTCCCTATTGACTAGTGATGTTTAGCATCTTTTCATGTGCCTGTTGGCCATCTGTGTCTCTTCTTTAGAGAAATGTCTATTCAAGTTGTTTACCTATTTTTACTTGGTTGTATGTCTTGTTGGCACTGACCTCTCCAACCTCTTTCACATCACTCTTCCACCTGATTAGTACCCAGAGTCATGTGGACAGTCTCTCTGTGCAGGGACATATACATCTTTCCTACATTTTGCAGCTATTGATCCATTTTCTGGGAAATTCCCTTTTCTCCTCCCACAGCTGGCCCTTTCACCAGCCTAAATGGCACTTCCGAGAACCTTTCTTGACCAGCCATCCACAGCCAACTCCATATTTACTCTCATATCACTGTTTCTTTCCTTCATGGAACCTACTCACAATCTGTAGTTACTTTGTTTATTTACATATTTACCTGGAACTTATGTCCACATGGAACATAGGTGCCACAGGCACACAGGGACATTGCCTGACATGTTCACTGCTCTATCCCCAGTGCCTCGCATGGTACCTGGCTTATAGTCTGCACTTAATATTTACTGAATGAAGGGGCGCCTGGGTGGCTCAGTCGGTTGGGCGTCCGACTTCAGCTCAAGTCACGATCTCGCGGTCCGTGAGTTTGAGCCCCGCATCAGGCCCTGGGCTGATGGCTCAGAGCCTGGAGCCTGCTTCTGATTCTGTGTCTCCCTCTCTCTTTCCCTCCCCCGTTCATGCTCTGTCTTTCTCTGTCTCAAAAATAAATAAACGTTAAAAAAAATTTTTTTTTAAATATTTAATGAATGAATCACTACTAGAGGGGGCATCCTAGGGAAAAAGTGATGTGGCCCAAAATGAAGTTTGACCTCCCTAATCGAGGCTCAAAGTCACAGAAAAGGACACAGGAATTTTCTGGTTCTGAGTTCTGCACTTCAATTGCTGAGTCAGAAAAAAGCACAGGACTATTCGAACCAGGGACATTGCTTGGGATCTGCCCCAGAGAAGTGGGGAAGCATTCTCACTGTCCACCCAACAGAGGCAGAAGGCTGTGGAGGCTTGCTGCGGCCACTCTTCCCCTTCCCATTATGCCTGAAGTATGAGGCAGCTCAGCTAAAGTCGTGTGAGATTTGCAGAGTACTGGGGATTCTGGGAATGACTTGGGCTCCATCAGTCTCTTGAGTGCTAAATGTGTCAGTAGGATACCCTTCGCGAGTAGTCAAAAGATAAAAAATGAACTTTCCATACCACAGGACACTAGAAAAATCAAATTTTTGTATTTTAAAATATTTTCAAAGGCTAATGCTATGGTGGAACAACCCAAGGATAGTTGAACCCATCTCTCAGGGAATTAAAGGAGTATCAGCCAGTGCAAGCAGGTCTGTACAAATACACAGTTTACAAATGAGCACAACCAAAAGGGACATTGGCCCCAGAGGACCAGGCTGGGGAATCAAAGGGAGAAACAGAGGGCCCTCCAGAGCGACAGGCACACTCATACCACTGAAATCCCTGGACCCAAGAGGGCCTCCAGAGCCACCCCACCCTACAGCATGCCTCTTGCCCTGTCTGAGCCTGCGGCACAGGTGGAGACTAGATTCACCAGCACTTTGGCACCGTTACCCATGACTTGGCACCTCTGCTGGCCCCTCATGAGCCTCTGGCTCAACCTGGCAAGGCTCAAGAGAATGGACCTACTCTCCCTGCCCTTCGGCAAGGACCAGGGCCGGGAGACACTGGGGCAAGTATTTCCCTGAAGACGTGATGGAAAGGAGTGATGAAGGGGGCTGGTTCCAAAAAAAGGATGGGGTTTTCCCCACTGTGGTGCTGTGGGGAGAATGGAATGAGTTTCACCTGATACATACAGATGAGGTGCAAGCAACGCCCCCAGGCTCTAAGCATAATCCTAGAACCCGCAATGGGGTGAGGATGAAGAGACTGCTAGTCTGAGCTTTGGGACTTGTCACCTGCAGTCAGTCCCTCCAATTCTTGTTTGGGTTTGTCCTAATAGGACAATCATGGCTCTGCAATAAATAATTTCTGCTTGGATTTCTCCCTGATTAACCTTTCAGGTGTCCGAAGGAGGAAAAACAGTGGCTATTTCTGACACCACTCACCCCATCACCAGTGACTTTCCCTTGATACCTCTGACCTCTTCACTGAGGCCCCTGTAGAACCTCCAAAGGCACTGTCTTAGCAGATGGGAGTCCCAGGAAGAGCAGGCAGAGTTCTGAGGCATAGACGAGCTGTTTAGAAAACAGGTGGCCCTGGCAGAAGTGGAGGAATCTCTAAAAGAAAGCTACCACTGTGTCCACTCTTCTCATCCCCTACTTCTCTTGTCCCCAGAGATATCAGACAGAACCCCTTGGCCTGGTCCCTGCACTGTACCAGGCCCACCTTGGACACCTCTACCTTATTCATAGAATGGAGAAGCCTCCCCCCATGGCCCACAACATACTTATTTCTGGTGACATGAGTGAGCTTTGCCCTGCAGTGGCCCTATACCATTGTGCCCAACTGCCCAGCTGCCCAGCCTCACCTCCCGACAGGTTGCTATGGGTCATGGCCTCTCAGACAGTCGGCCAGGGAGTACAAAGCAAAACTCAAATCAAAGCCACCAACCTTCCCACCCACCCCAGCCCTAGCCCCTACTTCCCGCCTGGGGGACCTTAGAACTGTTTGAGCACACGAGGGGAAGACAGTACCAGGTCTGTGACCACAGTGATCAAAGGCCCCGCTCCACCTGTCTCACCAGGAAGTGGCAGCTCAGGACACAGAATGCTGGACCTCTGCTCTCCTTCACAGCCCCTGCCACCATCCTCTGCTGCAAGTACTGTCCTCCAGATTCAGCCAGCCTCTTTGTGAGTGGCCAGGATAGAGCCTCAGCACAGGGCATGAACGTTCCTCTCTAGCTGGAATCCTAGCCACACGCCCTCCTCTCCTTGTTGATAGCTTCCCCCTCCCCTTCCTCTCCCCCAGTCTGCCCTTGGCCTGACAGGGGCCTGGCTCCCGGAACAGAGACTCTCAGGGGCGCAAGTGAGAGCACAGTATGTTGGGAGAGAGCAGAGCCCCACTGGTGGTTTGGGTTAGAGCCTCTGTCCCACTGAGGCAGTGAGCTGCGTGACAGTTGGAGAGGTACATTCCAGGAACCAAAGCATGGCCTTTGTCCCTCCGGTGGCTCCTAGTGTTCTGCACCTGTGCCAGGCTGTTTCCAAGGAACAAGTTAATTTTCTTTTTTTTCACTGAAGTGCTTGCTGAAGCTTAGTATACAGAATTTCTGAGTTGTTCCAAGAATCTGGCTCTTTGTCCGAGTCCCCAAATTGTAGGAGCTTTGTAAACAGGAGAGATAAGAATTAGGGGGAGGAGGAAGGATCTGGACTGTGTTTCTTCATACTCAGTCTCAGTGCAGCAGCAGCATAAACCACGGCGATCACTGGTGGAACCTTAGCACACACAGCATTCTTCATGGAGAAGTGGGGACAAAGGCCAGGTGGCTGTTACCTGTACACAGGAGATGCCCACATCAGAGAAAGGGCCTAAAAGGCAGACAGACAGATCAGTAGAACCTTTCTTGCCCCACAGGAGTGAGTCAGGGTGGGATCTGTGCACCCTGCACACTCTGTCCAACCTTGCTTAGGGCCATCAAGCCAGCACAAGGGCAGGGCCAAGTCCAACCAGGATAACACGCAGCCTGGCCATAGCAATTGGCTCCTATCCTTTACCCTCAATCCCAGAGGCATTAGCAAGAGACAGGGCATCACCTGTGCCCAGGGATTGGGCCATCCCAATTCAGGGAGCATAATTGCTGTTCCAGCCGGGAGATGCGGAATGCCAGATACGATGAGGACATGACCAAGAAGCAGATCCTGGAGAAAGAGAGATAAGAAGGATATCTTATCTAGGAAAAGGGCATTTTTAGAGGTTCACCAGAAATAGGAGTGGGGACTAAGCTACTTCCAGTTGTACTTGGAGGAATTAGAGACTCTTGCCCTTTAGCTACATTCAGGCCTGGACATGTTTGTTCTGAGAGGCCACGTGGGGGTCCTGAGACTCGTCCCCATGGAGGTGTCCTCAAAGCCCAGCAAGAATTCTAGGTCCTTAAACTGAGCCCACCCTCCCTCTGACTGGCCACCTTGATCCCGTGCTTCCTTTTCAAGACCACAGAGATCATCCCCTAAGGAGACAGGTCCACATTCCCCCAGCAAGTGCTGAAGCTGACAGAACTCAGCCAGCAGAACCAGAGGAAGGTCATGAGGTAAGGTGACGGGAAGCCAGGGGCTGGCTGTTCATGAAACACCCCACCATGCTCACCGCTCTCCTGGCCCTCAGGCCAAATTACAGACCGTCTGGGGTTCCAAAAACTGCTCTAAAGCAGGAAAGCTGTGGCTCTCCCCTAGTCTATCTGATGGCCCTCTCCAATTCGGTCAGCCCTCCCCCTCCCCAATCCTGTGCAACTTTTATTCAACAGTTTCGTATCCTGCCAGACTTAATCCTAAATTACAGGGTTGTATGAATAAAAACTGGAGATATTTTGTCTTGCTTCAGAAGGGCCTGCCATGTAGCCTCCAGACTCTGCCCAGGACTTTCAGTTGACCTGGGAACTCCCCACACACAGAGGCCCCTGCCAGACTCCCAGGTGAGCTTGACAACCCCCCCCACCCCCGCCCAATATAGTCACCTACAGCACGAAGATGACCTTGAGGAGCTGGCAATCCCAGAGCCTCAGCTCCCCGTCGCTCCTGGGCAACTCCTCCAGTTTCTCCTTCTCACAGACAGCATTCTCTGTGATAGGAGAGCAATTAGGCATCTTCTAGGGGCAGGAGGCAGGAGCCCAGCCCAGCAAGGAGCATGCCCACCTTGGCGCCCGCCCCCCCCCTCCGCCCCATTTTCTGAAGCTCCTTGGACGCTGCTTTCCCTTATAGATTTGAAGAAAGTAAGAAACAGCTTTAGGAAGAGCTGGTTGTGACTTTTCCTTTTTGCAGAAGTAGGGGGAAGAAAAGCCTGGTCTTTACAAACGTGATCATGGACAAGCCCCCTGAGCTCACCAGAGCCTGGAGGCTTCCTGGAGGGAAAGAAGCTGTCGGTGGAGTCCATGGATGCCCGAGGGATACAAGGGATGTTGTCTGGAAGGGACAGGGACCTGGAGGCAGGGCACACCTTTCTCCACTTCATCTCAGGGATGAGGACTTCCTGCAGAGAAGGAGGGAGAAATCGTCTATGACCCTTGGGATCTTACTTGTCCTAAGGGCCCACACTAGGTTTATCACACCTTCTCCAGATATTACCAATATGGAATCCTAGTGAGCATGATGTCAGGTACCCACAAGGGGAGAAACCATTACCATAGCAACCACATGTATCTCTTATCTGCTCCTTTGCTGTGACCAGCCATTCTTCCAGGGAACAATGTCTCCGAAGACTGCTAGTACAGAACCAGAATGGGATCTAAGACGCGAGCTAACCCAGGTATATGTTCAGATCTGCTGAGTCCAAGAAAGCTCAGCACAATATAATTTAGATGGGATAAGTCCTTCTAATCTGGACTCTAACCCTAAGGACATCACTGACCTTGGCAGGGGACACTTAGGATTCCCATCAACAAAAATGGGAACATCACCTTCTATCCCCTGCATAGAAATGTGCATATCGTATGCTTGGCTAAACGCTTAATGATTAATGAAGGAGGCTTCAAACACCCTGGGGTCATTTCCATCCGCATCACTGTTCTAGAAACTCAGCTCTGCCTACCCACAACCCCAGCAGCAAAGGAGACTGCTGGGGCCGCAGCAAATCTCAAATGAGTCTGTCTGGGTTCTACAGCGATACCCTTTGAAGTTCTTCCCTGAGGATATCTCTATCCCCTGGAAGGCCCTCTTGATCTTGCTAAAGGAAAGAGGGTGGGTCACTGGCTCTCTGTCTGTACAGAAGTGGGATCCAACCTGGGTGGTGTTCTGGGGGCTGGACATCTGTTCTGCTCAGAAAGTCCACAGAGCTGCCCAGGACCTAGTGGCTCTACATGGTATGGAGCATGGTGGGTCTAGGGGACCCCCTGGCAGAGCATGGCCACTGGCTCTTGAACCTGGAGCCCAAGTTCTGCATTGTAGACCCTCCTGGGAGGCCCTGAGGCCTCAGAGGCATAGGGTCCCTCATGCCAGCAACTGTTCCTGCCAGCCTCAGCTCTCACCAGAGACTCGCACTCAGGTTCCTCTGGAAATTCTCTTACACTCAGGCTCTTCTTGCTGGAAGGCTAAAGAAGAAAGGGAACAGGGGTCACTTGTCCATTTGGAACACCCAAGGTCAGGGGTGAAGAGGTGTTAGTACTCTCCAAGAGAGCTTTACCTCCACATAAGCCACCTTGGGTCAGATGGAGCCTCACTCCCAGAGTTTGCAGGGGCTAATGCTGGAGCAGAGCACAAATCCAAGGCAACATACTTCCCCTAGCTCCTGCCCCTCCCCCACTTCCTCACCGTGGGCCAGAGAGAACTGTAGGCACACTGGGAAGCAGCCACAAGCTTCTGTCTGTACATCGAGGAAGCCCAATGAGGCCATATACAGGGGATACACAAGGGCCAATGGCCTCAAAGGGACATGCTCACAAGCATAGACACCCAGTCCAAGGACTAAGTTCAGATACGCTGGACCTGAGCCTATTACTCCCCTCTCCCTGCCCTTGGTCCCTGTGTTGGAGAGATGGGCCAACCACTCCCAACAGCCTTGTCCCAAGACCTCAGTCCAGACCTGAGCAGCCTCCCTGGGCCAGCTCCTGCCCCTGAGCTCCATACCTGTAGGTGTGTGCAGACCCTCCTCAGCATGTCATAGACACTGTCCCGGGAAAGCAGTGACACAAAGACATACTGGGACAGAGAAAGAAAACAGAAAAGGGTGGGGTAAGTACAGATTGGGGTGAGTGCCAGAGGCAGGATCCTGGGGCTGGGTTGGGGAAATTAACAAGGGATGGCTGGCCCAGAGACTCACTGACCTTTTGGCTGGTATTGGTGGTGATGGCCAGGCCATTGGGAAGGAGCCGGGCCATCTTGTGTTTTTTGATCATTTGCACAGACACCACAGGAATGACCACCTGAGTGGGAAGAGGAGTGCTTCTCTTAGGATCCACCCCAAAGGACATGGTCCCTTTGCTTCCTGCATAGGGCCCCAGCCACAACTGGCAATCAGACAAGCATAGACACCATGCAGAAGCCTGGCCCTATGCTGAAGAATATCTGAACTATCCACTTTCTCATGCAGGCTCCGCTTCCAGCTCTACCAACCTGCCCCAGCTCTGACAGCACACACCACTCTGGGCTCTCATCCTATTATCTAGGAGGCCAAGGACGGCTGCTCTGGTGAATCCCATACTCCAGTAATGGAGTCCCCTGAGCTACCACCTGGCCACAATTATGGCTCCCTCTAAATGTGGCATCCCACTCTGATTCTGAAGGCATTTCAGAGGCACCCATAGGCAGAATAAATTTGCTATAAGCTGTTCAGGTCGGCTCAGGCCAGATGGGGAGTCTAGATTGGGGGCCCTCCCCAGACGCCAGGTAGGATGTCTTGTAGTGACAGGCCTGCATGCCTGCACGGGAGGGGCCTATATCTTCCCTGGCTGGGACCTCATGGGCCCATTGCAGGCCTTACCACTTATTACTACCTTGATATCCTTGCCAAAGAGGCTAGCATGGAAACAGAGCCAGTTGGGGGAGATGTAGAGCCGGCCCTGGAGAAGAAGGTCCCTCTGGAGGGCACAGGAACACACTGGGAAGTCACAGGAAAGAAGATTGCCATGAGCAAGGCCAACCCTGAAGCTCCACGGCCTGGGTCCTACACTCAGGAGTCCAGAGCCCAGCCTCAGGGACTGCCTTCCTCAGAATCCCACTTCCTGACCCCAGGCCCCAAACCACCCATTCCACCAGCACCCAGAGTCCTTCCTGAGAGTCCTGACTGCCCCACCCTACCCCACCAAACTGCTAGAGGTTCCCTCCTTCGCCACTCATGTCTCACAGGGTTCCCCAAGCCTGGATTCTTGCTCCCTCAGGCAAAACTCCCTGCCCTACCCTGCCCTGCCCTGTCCTGCTCAGCCCTGCCCTGGAGAGAGAGCCTCGATTGTGCAAATGCTCCAACTTGCTCACTGAGAGGCCTCACTGAGAGCAGGGAAGAGCAGTCATTGATAAGAGCAGAACAAAAATAAGATTTGGAAGCCCTGATATTGCCTCAAGAAAACGTTCATAAATTCCATTTCATGTCCCAAATCTACCCAGTCTTCTCATACTTTTGAAGAAAACAGGCCCAACCACATCCAAAGGGCAGCCAGTTCCCGTATCGAAATTGTGCCTTGGAGGCTCTGGAGGAGAGGACCTGGGCCTCAGGCACTCTAGGCACCTGTCCAGCCACACCAGGGAGATAGCTCACCTTTGAGAACAACCTCCTCCAAAGGGATGTCCTTAAACAGCTTGTGGTATTGCTGGTTGTATTTACTCAGTAGTGTCTGCAAACACACGAGCTGGGGCTGAGAAGTCCTGGGGGATCAGACCACTAAAGGGGCCCTGCACCAGCCACCAGGAAATAATGCCACAGGGGCAGGGGCTCTGGTATGAAGCAGTCAGTAAGTAGCCAGTGGGGGTGAAAGGCTGAGTTCCAAGCACAGCATGTCTCTCGGTGACGGTAGATCCTAATGGGCAGCCTATGACTGGAGGGGGACACACCACCCCCACCCAGGAGGGGGACACTCACTTGGGTTTCCCCTGGTGACAAGCCTGGTGGCCAAGGAACCAACAGTCACTAAATTCAGGCAGCCCTGGGCCCCTCCCTTGGTGGGCAGTGAAAAGTCAGCCTCCACACACTTACCCCTTCTCGGCCACACTTCTTGATCTCTTCACTCTTCAAGCCTTCTGGCCAGTGCAGACTGCAAAGGAGACATTCCATTCCAGGGACAAGGAACCCTTGAGTTCTGCCCATACATCCTCGGGGCCAGGTCTGCCCTGGCTTCAAGCCAGAAGCTTAGAGCAGAGATTGGAGACTGAGGCCCTTCTCTAGGAGCCACAGCAAAGTGATAAGCAGCAGCAAGTATGTAGCTTGACCCTGCAGGCTACAAGCCCTCCTCCCAGACAGCTGTGGGCTGTGGCTCCCCAGGAGGTTCGCTCAGCCTGAGCCTCCGCCTCCTGGAGATGCTTAGGAGCCTCCCACCCCCAAGTGTCAAAAACCCTCTCCCACTTCTCTGGCCAAAGGATAAGCAGAGGAGAAGACCCAGGGATAAATGAGTAGGAGACACAAGGATGGGGACCAGCTTGGGGAGTGGGTGAGGTGGAGATGTCAGACTCACAGCTCCGGGGCCTGGCTATGGGCCATGATCCCAGCAGGAATGCCCTTCTGGAAGCCTCCTCCCGGCAGCCTGGAGCTCAGCAGACTCACCTGACCTGATGGAGGCTACCAAGGCTGAGGGAGAGGGGTGGTGCTGGAACGCAAACCTTTGCCCTGGCCAGGTTGGCCTGAGGACAGGTGGGCAGGGAGGAGGCTGGTAACCTGAGAAGCCTAGACTCTGCTAGGTCCCTGTGTGCTGGGACAGTCCCGGGAATGGGAGGAAGGGGCCGGGAGCAGCCTGTGCCCAAACTAACACCTGACGCAAGGTCCCCTTTCTAACTTTTCTTTAACCCTTTTGCCCCTTTCTTTTTTATTTTTTTAAAGTTTTTAAATTTACATGCCTGTTAGTGAGCACAGTGTACTATTAGTTTCAGGTGTACAATACAGTGATTCAGCACTTCCATACATCCCCCCGTGCTCATCACAACTGCACTCCTTAATCCCCATCACCTATTTCTCCCATCCCCCCAGCCCCCTCTCCTCTGGTAACAAACTGATGTTTGTTCTCTGTAGTTAAGGGTTGGTGTCTTGGTTTGCCTCTCTCTTTCTCGGTCTCTCTCTTTTCTTTCCCCCCTTGTTCGTTTGTTTTGTTCCTTAAATTCCACATATGAGTGAAATCATATGGTATTTGTCTTTCTCTGACTGACTTATTTTTGCTTAGCGTAATACACCCTAGCTCCGTCTATGTCATTGCAAATGGCAAGATTTCATTATTTTTTATTTGCTCTGGTCTCTGAGGTCCTCCTGAGGGCTTCCCACCCCTAATCGGTATGTATATCTGACCAGTGGAAAGGGCCTCACCTGGAGTTCAGGGGTGCCTGAACCCTGGCTAGTTTCTCTGTGCAGGACACAGGGCTCTTCAGAGAAGCTGTCTTTCCATGCATCTGCTGGTTGCTAAGCAGAAACAGGCCTGCATCAGGAAGGGTGGCTCTATGGGGACACCTTGCCCGACCAGCATCACCATCCCCAGGGCAGGTCCTCCACCCCCACCCAAGACCAGCCCTGCTGTTCAGGGTGAGGCTGAAGCTGTCAGAGTCCAGAGGCAGCAGCTCAGGCAGGAGTCCTGTGCTCCCTGATAGAAGGGACAATCTCACACGCCATCCTTCCTGGAAGCCTGCAGATCAGTTTATTCCTGGGTGGGAAGGAAAATCAGCCTGCCTTAGTGGAGCACCAGGAGGTTAAGCCCTAGGCCCCACCCCAGAGAAAGCACATCCGGATGGAGGACTCTAAGACTTGCTCATGGCTGAAACCATAGTGCCTGAGGTGCCCGGGCAGCATCACCATAAGCCCTCAGTGCAATCCTAGGATGCTAAGGAAAGGATGCTGAGCACAGGAGGCCTTAGCAGAGCTGAGGATCTGGGGCCACTAATGGTGTGGGAGGGGCTCTAGTCAACCCACAGGTGACCATGGACTGGGAGGGGAGGAGCAGCCCCACACCATGAAGTGGCTTTGGTGGCCTTCAGACAATCAGGGCACCTTGGCCCTGAGAGCCATACTGTCTCAAAAATGTGCCAGAGAGCGGGCCCTGGAGGGAGGAGACACCATCTCCCTGGGCAAGTGGGGCTCTCCAGTGGCTTTTGAATTCATGCCTCTACTAAACAGCTCCAAAGTATAGGGTTTCCCCCTTCCTGCCCCTCCAACACACAGGCTAGGAATCAATAAAGCCTGAGCATTCAAACTAGCCCCCAACTCAATGGGCCCAGAAGCTGACAGGAAGAGAAGGTGGCCAAGAAGCAGGGCCAAGGCAGGGCATCATGGTGGTCACAAACAGGAAACATGGTTCTGGGCAGATAAGGAGCTGGAACCCGAGGCCTGCAAATACCAACCCTTGGTCCTTCTCAGCTTTGTCGTGGGCGCAAGTCAAAGTTCTCTTCTTCAAGAACAGAGTTGGCCGAGATCTGCCAAAGACCCTCAGAGTCATTTAGTCTGACCCCCTAATATACTGTGTAAAGAGTAGGAAACTGACCCCTGCCAAGGGACAGGCTGTACCTAGTATCACACAGTGAAGAGCCAGGTAACCTCACCCACAAAATCAGCCCATCCACAGCCACGTGGCCTGGTGATTTCTGCCTCTGCCCTTAGTCTTCTGGAGAATTTTGGTAAATACACATCAACATATGTTTCCTGAATCTTGCAAAGTGACAAGTTTTGCTAGTGATTTGACCCTGTTGACTCCCAAAGTTAATTTCTATATTTATTTGGTCCCTTCATTTCATATTTTAAGAGGGTTCCCCCCCCCCTTTTGACTTTTGTTACTCTCATTACAGAAAATGTGAGAAAAACAAAATATGATGATCAAAATCACCAAGAAGCAAATGCCCTTAAAACATCACCCAAAGAAAAGATTTATGCCTAAATATAGAATTCATTTAAGTAGAAGTATACATTATAATATGTATGTTCTACTTTTGTTGCTTAACATGATTTCATGAGAAATTCCCCATGTCACTGTCCATGGTTGAGACAGAGTCTCAGAAGTGTGATTAGTGAGTGGAGAATGCTCATTTCCTGGGCTCTTTAGACTCACTCCCAAAGTGCTTCCATATGTTTTACTGGTGACCACAGCCATCAGCACTACGTGAGGGTACCGGCTTACCTACATCTGGGCTACATCCACGGGCTATTATCTTTTTCTCACTTTTGCAAGTTTGATACATGGAAGTATGCTATTTTCATTTCTATTTCTGCTTCCTGATAGGTTCAACAATATTTCCCATATATACACATTAACCACCAGAATTTCATCTGTGAATTGTCTGTGAGGGTCTTTACGTTTTTCTTATTGATTTGTATTAAATTTTTTTTGAGAATATTACTCCTTAATTTCTCATTTTTGTAAACATCTCCCCCAGTTTGTCATTTGCCTTTTAGTTTTGTCTGTGGTACTATTCAGTTTTTGTGTGGCAAATTCCATCTATGTCTTCTATCTCTTGATTCCTCACTTGGTTTGAGTGCTTTGGTTGGAGAGGCCCCTGAGGTAGAGACTGTACAAGTCAAGCCACTGAGTCCTTGGGGAGCTTAGACCCTGCAGCTTGTGAGCATACTGGGCCACAAGGAAAGAGAAGGAAATGGGGCCCACTCTAAGGAGCACACTCTAACCTGGAGGCCCAGGGGTAGAGTGAAACCCCAAGAAGGACTTTGGCCATGGTCACAGAGGCAGGGAGCCTGTCATTCGGGCATTGGGAAGGGTGATTCGAGCTATCAGGGCTGCAGGAGCCCAGAAGGCAGACAGAGTGAGAGTCACAGAAAGGCTCCTAGAGAAAAGGAATCCCAACCCTACCACCTGGGTAAGACTGTCATCCTGCAAAAGTTCCATAATCTAACTTTGCGTTCACGATCATTCCTCTGCATGGCTTCTAAACTGAACTCATCCTTAGGTCCAGTGTGTCTTGCTCAGGGACGGGAGCCCGCCCTCCGCCCTCCCCCAACCTAGTGAGGAGCCCCCGCTGCAGACACTCACAACACCCCAATCCTGGCCTCCCTCTTAGCACTTTTCACACTGGGTCAGTGCTGGAACTGCTCGTCTCCGGGGGCTCCAAGATGGCAGGGACTCTGCCTCCTCCCTCCCTGAAGGTCACAAGCTGGGTGAAAGGCCAGCATGCAGCAGGCACACGCGATATGTTTGAGGAATGAAGTGTGGGGTCAGTAAGCAAGGCTGGAGGAGAGACGGACCATGAGAAAAACAAAAGAAGGCGGTGCACTCGCTCTCCCCACAGCATCTCCCGGAAGAAAAGAACAGTGGTAAAACACAGTCACTGGGGGTGGGGGAAATGACTTTCAGGTATCTTTAAACTTAAAAGCAACTCCTTTATGCATGATGAACAAGATGGTTACAAGCCATTCCTACCTGTCCATCTGTTAAGGCCAGTCCCTCCTGGCTGTCCTCATAATGATCTTGATACAGAGACTCTGCCTGTGGCCGAAATGCATGGTTTGCAAAACTATCAAGTCAGATTTTCTACTAATTAGTCTACAGTATTTAGGTGAGTAAAAATAAAGAAATGGGAGCAAAATCAGATACAAGGGTAGGTCTGGGGCAGAGTGGTCACCACAGAACCAATAAGCGGGGAGCACCCAAGGACCAACTGGGCCCTGCTGCACAAGGTCAGGAAGGAGGCTTCAAGAGCAGGAAGCTGGAGAATGGGGGCCAGCCTGGGTGCCCCCACTCTCCTGGCAGCCTCTGTGCATTCCCACACAGACCCCCTCAAGCCAGTTGCCCCTACTCTGTGGGTTGTGAACTAACCCCCTTGCCCATCAAGTCCCACTCCTACCCCCACCTGCAGACTGTGGGGTAGTATCAGGGGTCCTCAAAGCCATGTCTGTTTTCTCCATCAGAGCCACAAAAAAATATTCTTGTTATCAAGGGGATGCAGCAGGGGAGGCCCAATATTTTGGACATTAGAGGAGGTAGAAAAGGTTGGGGAACTCCTCAGATGAGTCCCTTTCGCCCTGCTGAGCCCGATTCCGGGGCAGGATGCCTCTCCAGAGGACACAACAGCTGCTTGCCCTACCTGCAAGCCTTCCTTCATTCCCTCTCCAAATACTCACTGAGCTTATCACACCAGGAGTCCAGGGTGCAGCCTGCCACATGGGGCTGCTGAAAGAGCAGGGGGCGGGGAGCTAGCACTGGGGATGTCAGCAGAGGAGCCAGGCCAGTCAAGAAAGGGGGGGGGGGGCACAGAGAGGGTAGGAGAGGGAGAGAGAGACAATAAGGAGGGAACCCAGAGGTCCAAGAGTCGAGCTGCCTCCTGCAGAACTCATGGACCAGGCCTCACAGGACACCTGACATGTGTACACTCTGCTCTGGAAGCTTCCTCCAGGCTCAGAATACACCCACCAGGCAGATGCTCCCAAATCGAAATCTGTAAATCTCTAACCTTGACACCTCCTCTCCTCCTGAGCTTCAGCTATCTGGATGTATCCATCAAGGTGAGCTCAGTGTCATCCCCCCAAATCTGCTTCCTTCTGAGCACCCAATATCCCTGAAAGGCTCCTTCCTCCATGGTTACCCAAGGCAGAAGCCTCACCTCCTTCTCCTCCCCTCCCCCCCACAGCACTCAATCCCCAAAGGCCCAAGAGCCTTCCCCCAGCTGAACCTATGACACCAGGACACCACCTACTCCATTCCTGCTGCACCTGCCAGCCCTGATCACCATCATCCTTTCCCTGATGTTGGCAGAAGCCTCCTCACCATGCCTGGCCCTCCCCCACATCTGCACCACCAGCAGAGCCACCTGGGGCCCAGAACTGATCCTGCCACTCTGCTGCTGACCTTACCTCCCTCATGCCTCCTCAGCTGGCCTTCCTGAGCTTCCTGCTTCCCTTCCCAGCCTCACTCCTGAGGCTCACCTGAGCCCAGCTTCCTTGTTGCCGCAGCCCTCCGCACCTGCACATCCTCCCTACCTGCAATTCCTTCCCATGCTTGTCTACCTGGAGAATTCCACTTATCTTTCAAGTCCCAGTTCAAATGTCACCTCCTCTGTGAAGCCCTCCCTGGTCTCCCCCCTGCAGAGCTGGTCAGTCCTCCTCTGTGGTCCCCTGTCCCCTCTGTCCTGCTGTGCTGTCCCAGCACTTACCACACCAGACTGTGCTTGTCTGTTTACACATCCAGCTGCCCCCAGTGGCCTCTGAGCTCCACCAGGGGTGTGTCTTATACATCTCTGTATCCCCAGCACACAGCAGGCACCCAGTGTTTGCTACTGTGAGGGAAGCAGACAGAGAAAGAGAGATGGTGACACTCCAAGAGGGAAGAGGGGAGGGATAAATCAAGGCAGTAGAAGGGAAAGGCACATAGAATGGAGCAAAGGGGGTCACCTGCAGACCGGTCCCTTCCAGGAGCCTTGCCCGTGAAGCAGGCAGTCAGCACTGACCCAGCACCACCAGGCACTCAGTCCATGCTGGCTGACTGATCAAAGGGGGAGCTCGGGTGGGAGGCAGAGACAAAAGAAAAAGGATAAAGTGGCTCGGAAGGGATGCAATGTGGTATTTGGGGAAAGCACAAGCCGGACCCCTCAGGCCTCCACTGCTGTGTTCACTGGATTGGCATGCTCCTGGACTGTCCTGTGCCCACACTCAAGCCTCCCTAGCCCCAGGGGAAACCTCCTTTCAGGCTCCTCCAAGCCTGGCAGGAGC